TACATTGGACTTCCTGACGACAGACATAAGCTGGAACAAGCATAACTAAAACAACAGCCAAAAGCTAACACAATCCTCGGTTTCCTGAAACTTAACTTTATGATCAATTAAAGAGAACTAAAAGGAATAGCATACAAGGGACTTATCCGGTCAAGCTTATAATTTGCTTCGTTTGTCTGAGATCCGTACACTGCTAAGAAAATCAAGAGACTGGAGATGATCTAGAGACGTCAGGTGTGTCTTCAACGACTACACACAAACAAAAAGTGTCACAAATGTTGAAGTAAGTGGCCCTCCTTGGTGAATAAGAAGATGGCAGGAGCGTTTTATCTTTTTGACTACAAGATGCGTAATGGCTTGGTTGCAATCAATCCTTTAAGATACACCACCAGGTACAAACCTAACACAAGGAAAAGATACGGTAATCTTCAATATATCCTTCTTATATATATCTACCCTCTTCTGTAAACTATGAACACTACTCCATTTTCTCAAAAACTGTAAACGAGTGGAATTGCCTCCTGGATTAAGAGCTGAGGCTCTATCGTTCCCCCAACGCAAGGCTGACCTACGACATTCTGTAAACTAGTCTATCTTTTTGTGAAATTAATTTAACATTAGGACTTCTATCTTTTGAGGTTCATTCTGAGTTTAAACATTACTTAAGAGTTACGTAGGTACTTCAAGTGCTGTCGATGACTGTGACTGGCATCCCGGTTTGTGGTAACTATTAGTGACTACGTTGTAGAAGGGTGTCTAGCCACCAAGCAGCAAGAAAAATATAGCTATCAAAGGCGAAAGAGCTCCACAGAGTCAACGGATATCCACGTCTAGGATTATTATCTTATATTACTGTTAATTATTTTAATTACTATTATAGGAATTGATTTAACTAAATGTTGTTTTTCCCCTCACAACACAGTATGAAATTATCTAATTTACAATCACAAGCCTCGGATCCAGACATTTGCACTGTTCACCATGGCGAATGTCAGAGTGAGAGATAAAAACGTAAAATAAAAAAGTGGTTGCAACTTAATGAATAACGATGTTATGAAAAAGTGACTATAATTAATCGGCAGCAATCTATGACCAGCAGGGGCGGTTCAGCAGGTCAGGCGCCTGCCTGACCAATAAGCTTATTGTAGGCAACTGAGATAAAAACGTTATTTTAGGAATAATAGAATATTATATATCATCTTTTCCTGGACGTTCACATTTTTGTAAATAGCGGTGTCCTTACGAAGCCGACATTGATACCCACCACCATGTGATACCGGCATTGTTTGCAAGAATAAAATGCTCCTGACCGGTTATAGTATAAAATATGTAAATCGTAGTTTTAGTCGTAGGTGTTACATCAGAAAACAGCTGTAAATCTATGTCATTTTTAACATTGACTTCAACGAACCATGATATAAAATTTTATTTGACTATCTTTTAAATCAATATTGAACAATAATTATATTAAAATGCTGATAGTGAACGGAAAATATCCAATAATGTAAGCTGTTAAACCAATATGTTTACTACTTAATGTTCTCCACTGCATGAAAAGTCAGTCTCAAATTTGCAATATGTTTTCATAAAAAATATTGATTGGCTTAACTTTTCGGAATGTGCGTTATATCTTATTCTGTTAATAAAGTGAACCACATGGCCTTTTTTAATTCTGAAATCTCGAGTGCTATGATATTCGTTTGATAGAGAAATGCATATTTTGAACTATTTTTCAACCAGACGCTGGATAGGCCTATATTTAAAAAATTAATACTTACACACTCCTTTTTTAATGTCTGAAAGTTACTTTTTTGTTAATAGAACAGGCCTAGCCAAGGCGGCCATAGCTATTCTACGCCTTGTCACACCTTTTGGTGGGAATAAACAAAGCAATCTTAAAATATATTAGTATCAATTGTTACCTTAATTGCAACATTGTGAGCTCCATGTACCGGGAGCAAGTCATTCATCATTGTGAAGATAGCTGTTAGGTACTGGATAAGACTAATACCTTTTGTATGGGCGGCCATCTGTCTCGTTTGTAATGTAATATATGTGTAATAATGCTAAATATCACTTGTACTTTGTCGTATTAGGAAGAGCATTATACGTTTAAAAGAAAAATGAAGGTATTATAAAAAAAATAAAAAAACTACACAAAATTACAATACTTATATCAATAAGCCAATTTGTAGTTAGAACTGCTCATGCTCGTCAAATCAAATCAAATTTATTCTGCATCACATAGAATAATTACAACATATATATTATATTATATGTTTCATATATTATGTGTGTGTGTATATGAAAAAGATGTGTCCACGTGTGTTTCGAAACATAGAATATAAGTAGTGCGTAACGGTAGGCCTAATACAAACTCAAACAAACTCAGATACGTAATATGTTGTCTTTAGAAACACTAACATATAGGCATATATATATATATATATATCTGTCTCTTATACACATCTATCATACACACAACATAAGTTTATGTCGATTGACTGATTTTGGATACGAGCATGCGCAGTTCTAACTTGGAAGTTGCTTATTATAATGATAATGATGGTGGTTATAACAGGATAAGAATTCACTGTCTTCAATGATGAAAAAGAATAATCTTACTCTTATGTGCCATCTGCCTAGATCTCTAAAAACGGTGACAACATATCTCATCGGCGACCTTTATGCGACCGATGTATAATGAGAGAGGAAGGACCGCAGGGTTAATGTTTCTCTTGTTCTAATTTGTATTTTGTCCAAAACTGTCAGTAGCTCTGGTTTTAATAACATATATTACTAAGAAGGTGTTTTGTATTATCATTTTACGGACTTTTTATACTGTTTTTCTCTTTTGTCCCATTATTACTTAATACTTAATAGATTTGTTTTTACGTTTCTTAGTTTAAAAAAGTAATTGATTGACCTGGCCTCGTCTGTTGTCGGCATGCACGTATTACAGTTTAGTATATTTTTTCAGTAAGCAATGGTAATTAAAGTAATTAAAGATAAACGCTCCACTTTGAATAGCCCCCCGCCCCCAACAAAATAAACTCTCCCTCTAGAGCTTTATTTGGAGTAAACATTCTCTCGAAAAAAAAGACCAGAGGGTTTACTCCAAACGATCATTAACTTCATGCATTTTTTGTTAGTAAAATGGTATCACTCTGCAAGAAACCCATGTTGAGATACCGTACGGTATAAATTTAAATACTTAAAGCTTAAAATATGCCATACTTAATTACAAAATGGTTAATCTCGTGTAAAACAGCATTGTTGAATGAATTAATGTGATGTAAATGTGTTATGCTCGATGTGCCTATATATGGTCATAATGTGGTGTCATCTTGATCATATATTTATAGGCATATTACATGTTTTACAAGGCTTTAGAGAAAGGACGATGTTACTGTACTTTCTGAAAATTTTAACAAAAGGAGGTTTGTACTTTTATATTCAATTTTATATTTATATTTCCTTTATAAAAATATAATGTTTTATTGTGTTCATATATAGTTACGATGTGCCTATATATGGTCATGATTTGGTGTCATCATGACCATAAGTTTATAGGCATGTCACATATATTTGGACAAAGACTTTTTGAGTAAAGATGGTGTTACTGTACTTCTTGAAAATGGTAAGAAAAGGCAATTTGCACTTTTACATTCAATTTTTATATTTCCTTTATAAAATATAATGATTTATTGTGTTTTAAAATGCAATAGGCCTATCAATAACAAATAATGGAGAACTGGAAATAAAGGGTAGACTTGAGCACTCCACCGGGAAGCTTAAGTTTGTGTTCCTTAGGCGTTTAATCCAAAGGAAGGGTGGGGGTAATAATATTAAGCGCTTAGAGGCCTTGTTGGCGTTTATTATTATGGGGGGGGGGGGCTTTCACTTAAGGAGGGTCTAGATTACCTTAGTCCCACTATGTATTATATTTTAATTACTTTAAATTAGCCACATACTATACTTGTCTAATCAACAATAAATTTACTGTCTGTCAAATTTAATCCCTATATGAATTGCTAATTTTTGTATATTTAAATAAGTTATGAACTTGGAGTTAGAAAAATGAATATGAGTATTTATCTTAAGCTGATGCACAAGTGATTAATAACTTTACTGTATTCTTTTGCAGGATCTGTGGCTGATCAGGAATTAGAAATAGAGGGGCCTCTAAGACTTAAATTTGAATATAATTTTTTCTCCATTTTTTTAGTATTTTTTTAAAAAACTTAGGCAGGAGGGGTGGCAGGTTTCTCCTCCCCCACTTTAATTTGCCACTGCCTATAAATTGGCTAGTAACTTAAATTTTAAAATTCTTGTAGGAATATGTCTATTTTTGGATCTGTTTCTTGTAGGGAAATAAATAGTTTAAGATTTACACTTTATTCGTCAAATTATGACAATTAAAATTATTTAAATAAAACAACCCTTAATTTGATTTGTGAGTATTTATTGGAGTAGGGGTACGTATAGCCAGTAGCACCTACTAACTTCAAGTCCTTATCCTTAACGGCTTTGCAGGTGACCCGCTGCTATTTCCGGGCATCTAGGTTAATTATTTTCAAAACTTTGCTCTTCTCAGTCCCGTAAAGTTCCTTTTTTCTCCCAACCCGTCTACTCCTAATTCCCGAATCCACCACACCCCAATTTCAGAAAGGTCTGCGTCCCGGTAAAGAAACCTTAAGCTAGTTTAGTAAACAATACCGAACATTTGAATTTGAGAAAACAGTCAAAATCCACACTTACTTATGCATAATAGTGGTCAAAATGCATGCTTTTGTATTTACTGGAAAAATAAGAAATCATAGAAACAGAGTGCTGCAATCGCTGATAGATCAGAACCAACAGATGCATGCATATGCGCCGCTATAAATATACAAATAAACATCAATGAGTCGAGGGCGCTGTCTGCGATGGCTCGTGAGATTCCAAGTCAGCTCCACAGATTCCTCTTGCAGGAAGTGTTCACGAACGTGATATCCTGAACGAATTCACTTATTGACCTACCCTGCTCTCAGGACTCAATTGCAAACTGCCGCACTCACTGATCTCAAAATTATTCTCATTTCCAAGCTAATAATCCGAGAGGTACATGAACCTCAAACCGTCAATTGGTCGTTGTTTTACAGTAAAGTGTTTCTCGGCTGATTATGATTGATCTATTGCGATTTGTTACCACTTACGCGAGTAACTTCATCCGCTGATAAATTTACCTGGATCAATGATGACACTAACGATTTTTAGCTCGAAATCTGGTGAGTCGTAGTAGTGTTGTTTTTTAATTATATTATTATTTGAGGTATTCCAGCCACGAGCTGATGAAAAACAAGTTATTCCTTCACCAGGCTGAGAAAACATACTTTAAAAATTTGCATTCATAGCATCAGCAACAAAAAAAATCACTCATGTTGTCTGAAGCAAACAAGGGTCATAACCAGCTGCCAATCAAACATTAGCTCAAGGCAGATATCATTCTTTCGCTTAAATTGTAGCCTACAATTCGGTTTCAGTTTTGATTGTTTGTAGAAGGCAAGATATGAAAACATTAATAATGTTGATATTCTTGTGGCGATAGATAGTAGAAATCAGTTTCTGTAATTGTCGATGGTACCGTTGCCATAGATAATGTTAGCCTACAACGATGGCCGACATTTACAGTATATTAAATCGTTAAATCTTACAGTTTCCATATGCGTCTCAGTATACCACAACGTGTGTATAGTGTTTTTATATTTTAATTCGTTCAATAATTCTACTCTAAGGGGAGTGAGATGAAATAAATAAACGTTAAAAGCGACACTATATAGAATATAGGGCTAGTCATAGATAGGTCTATCACTTCCTTGTCCTGATTTATAGTATTACGTAAAAATATATTAGTTAAAGGTACTGCTGAAAAAAACAAATTGGAGAAAACCTCAAAATGTGAATAAAAGTTTTGTGTAACTCATTTAAAAGTATCGAATAAGTAATAAAACACTTCCAGATCTTTAACTAATTGCTAAGCCAGCAAAAATTACAGGAAAGATATTATTTAACTTTAATGTATGATAACATGGTTAATTGCAGGTCTAGCGGGAGCAGGCCAGTATGACAAACTGAATTTTAGGTCCAGTAGGAGCAGGCCAGTATGATAAACTGGTTAATTGTAGGTCCAGGAGGAACAGGCCAGTATGATAAACTGGTTAATTGTAGGTCCAGGAGGAACAGGCCAGTATGATAAACTGGTTAATTTTAGGTCTAGAGAGAGCAGGCCAGTATGATAACCTGATTAAAGAGGGGCTCATCCCACATGGGTTCATCTTTGGCATGGAAAGTGATTAAGTAATCGCAAGTTTCGGAGGTTCTCTCGAAGGACCTTGAACGACACGGGCTTTTGGCACAGTTTATGTAGAAATTTTAAACGTTTAATATTATCAGATGAGATGAACCAACGTGAGCGACTTCTAGAAGGTTAATACTGACCCCATGGCCAGCGTCTCTAAGATCGAAAACCAGAGGAGATAATTTATTATTTTTCCTTAAATGTGCAGCGGTGATTTGGGTTTCAAAGGGGATGGTTATGACAAGTTTTTAAAGATGTGGCCAGAAGAGATCAGATTTGTTAGATTTGTTGAAACACACACCAAGAATTGAGGATATAGGGCCTATATAATTATACATTATGTACCCTATCACTGTACATACATACATGCATGGCATATGTACACATAATGGGCCTATATATATATATATATATATATATGAGTAGGAATTTGGCACGGTGTAAGGAGTTCGTGCCTTTTGTTCAAAGTCGATTGTTTGTCTGCATAAATTATATGAAACTTTTCTGCGTTGCATAGATTGCATCTATTTGTTTTGGGTGAGTAGGATGAGGCTCTATCAATAATTGACCATTTGATATTGTATTGTGTTTTGCTGTCTTTTAGTTTCCATATGAACTTTGAAAGTTCTGTGCACAGAAACAGCACAGAACTCAAAAACACATAACACCTAATTTGCATCTACACCGGCCCAACTCTACATATACACGTCAAATTTGAAATTCCCTTCACTCCTGAAGATTGAGTGAAATTACAAGTTCCTTATTATTAGTATTATTATATATATATATATATATGTATATGTATATATGTGTAGGCCTAGGTATGTCTGTAGGCCTATATATATATATATATATATATATATATATATGTGTGGGGGGGGTGGGTGTGAATTTGAGTGTATATAAATATATACAATGATATACGTTTGAAAATTACTAAATGAAAGTTCTTGATTTTTGTTTTTATTATTATAAAGATTAGCATATTATATTTATTATTGATCAGAGATGGAAAATGGTATTAATATCATTATTATTATCAATGATATGATATCAGTATGGTACGTTACCTTTTGGTCTTGTACTCAAGAGAAAAACAATTAAGAATTGTTGAAATCAAGAAAAAAAAATGTATATGTATATATGTAGGCCTATATGGTAATGGGTGTGTATTGTATATATGGAATGTGAAAAAGAATATATTAATGTGTTTTTTTAGGAATTAATAAAAGTCTAAAAGATGCGTTGAAAAAATTACTGCCAGCCATTGTGGACTGACGCTGACTGACTAAGTGCAATTGATGACAGAAAAAAAAATCAAAATATAACAAAAGGAGATGGGTGAAATTGCCACGAAAGAGAGAAAAAAAATAATAGTAATAATAATAATAATAATAATAATAATAATAATAATAATAATAATAATAATAATAAAAGTAATGATAATTGGCCTATAATCCATCTACATCACAATTGTATTGTTTATATTGTACAGTTAGCCTATACAACTTGCAACAGCCATCTTGTGCATTTAGTAAAGCCCCTCAACAATGGCATGGGTCCCCTAATAATGGGCCCCTCCAGATTGACAGGCTTTCGGCACAATCTTTCTCGCGCTTCACGCTCGTAACTGGAGGTCAATACCAACCCTTGCCCCTGTTAGTTTCCGCTCTATGCGGCCCTGCTGTAGACAGAGTAGAAAGCTAGGGCAACTAGGATAAGAAATTACATTTGTAAAAAGAGTGATAAACACATAATCCATTGGGATTTCTGTTCTACCTAAATGGCAGTATATTCTGGATGCTTCCTAGACTGCCACTTGCGCACGCCTTGTTTGGGCTCTTATGTCCGGCTGTTTCAAAGTTAGGAAAACGATGGTTCGGACGCGAGTGGTTATAGGTACAATTTACTACTGGATACTCCCCAGGCCTATACTTAATAAGATAGATTTATTTTTTTTGAAAATTTCGATTAATGGCAGTGACGGATCCATCGAAGTAGAGAGGGCCAGGGAAGGACATTAGGGATACTACCTCAGTCCCACCATGGTTGGTGATGAAGTATGGCATTTTTGGCTATGCCACATCTAGATGGCCGGATATTGCAGTCTCAGAATTTTTAACACATTTTTTTTTTTAATTTTCTAAATTTTGTTTAAATCGCCCTCTCCTTAAATCTTCCTATGAATGTTGTTGAAATAATATTATGACTTTTTAGCGGTAAAGATTAGCTTAATGTGCAGACCCGTCACCAAATACTAGGACAATGAGACTTTATGACGTATTTAACTGGAATCAGCTTCTTTAATTTCGAACAACAGCTTTCTCTATGAACATTATGAAATACATGTCGTCACGGACTTACCTGTCCTGATTCACCTAACGACCTATTTTAAGAAATGAAGACATAAGATGGGATTATTACAATTTTCACTCTATGAGGCGACGTGGAATTTGGTTGGTTGATATAATCGTGGCTCATTTCATTTATATACAAAATTAATGGCCTATTAATATCGTCTATATAATTATCCAGAAATTAATAAATGCTTAATACGCATGCATGTTCACATTATGTTTTAATTACATTGTATATGGTTATATTATGACGTGTATAAGTAGAATACCTCGTTAATAAGTAAATATATAACTATTGTAACAGCGGCACATATCATCAGTGCATTCTATTACTAAAACGGCCTTATAACACCTTAACACAAACAAAAAATTATCAACAAATGTCATCCGCTTGCAACGGTGTATACCTACGTATAATCGGTTTGTATTAACAATGAAACGTGATTTTACTTCACAAATAGTGCGATATCATGTAATATTTTGACGTAATGTCACTGTTTTATAACATAAGCATCCTGTCGCAAGTACATTTGATTGAGTTGGCCACTTTCGCCATCAGAATAATGACAGAAGTGAAATATTCGGTGGTCCCTAGGCCTATTATTAGTGTATAAAAAGGACATAACTTGTAAAGGAACCACCTAAAAAAATCCAATTTCTACACAGACATTGCATGAAAACGTCGTTGTATCAGAATCTTAAAGGTAGGGCGATGTGAATTCTCATCAAAATAGAAAGTTGTTTTTCAAAATTGACTACAAAAGCGGAACGACTTGATACTAAGACAGCACTGACTGAACATTCACACTACGGGGAAGGTAACAATATTAACGCTGAGGAGGAAGTTCAAAAATTGTGGGTGTATGCGAACGTTTAAACTTGTTAAATTTGTCTCACTTACCAGCTTATCTCATAATAAGTTTAAAGGCCACCTTCACCCTTATTAACTAATGAAAAACAAAACATGATTTTGGACATTCTCAACAAAAACAACAGTTTCTTCAGAACTATCTGCGTGGTGTACTGAAAGCATTCAATATGATTTCTTTATTATTATTATTATTATTATTATTATTATTATTATTATTATTATTATTATTATTATTATTATTATTATTTATTATTATTTATTATTATTATTATTATTATTATTATTATTATTATTATTATTATTTTCGGCATAGCATAGCTTGTAGCGATTTTAGGAAAACCAAAATTCAGGGCTATCTATTTAGTTTCAAGTAGGTACAAGGGTTGAAGCTTGGACCTCTTAATAAGGTCCTGGTTGAAGCTTCTCCCCAACCCCTCCTAATTGGGACTCATATAAAACATGCATATGCCTACTTCTTATTTCCATGGCTGTTTGAAATGAGCTCGACTATGATAAAGCCCGTACGGTACGGGACCTTTGACTATTGACGCGGTGTAATAACAGCGGCTTCCACTTCTCCAACTATTTCCACTTGATAGGGTAGTGTATAGAATCATTATATCGCGTAGCACATTCTAGGAATCTTGGGCAATACTGCAGGCTGTTAAGCTAAAAATCCTACTATGTCCAAACAAATAGACTCCTGTTTGCATAGAACACCCTTTCTCACAAATACGAACAATTTCCCTTGCTAAGCCCCTGACTTAATTATAGAGCATCAATGGTCCCAAATGATCATACTTGTAATTGAAATGGTAATGGATGTAGATTTGTAGAGCGCATATTATTACAAACTGTCTGTTGTTTATATAAATCTAAATATACATGTTAGGCTACAATAAATGGAACTAATTTATAATAGCTTGATCATAATTATAAAAAAAAAATGCCATAAATTATGATCAATCCAAGAAGCTTGAGCTCAGTTGACTTAGTCGAGACAAATAGCGCAATAGATAAAAGCAAACTGACACAGCCAACAACAACTACCGTACGAAATTAAAAAGCGCTATTATTATAGTGCTTCAAAAATAGTTAGGTTAATACTTAATGAACATAATGCTTCGCTTAACAAAATTAATTTTAATACGTTTCCGAATAATCGATTTTCATATTAATCATCATAATAATGGTCAGTGCTATATCTCAAGTATTCTGGCGCCGAGTCACACGACCAGATTCCATAAAAATAGATATCTGACGTCTGAGGCAATATCCAAGAGAGAAGGAAACATATCGTCCTCAGACTATTACTACGAATAGGTGTAAGCTTTCGATACATTGTTTTGATTAGAGAGGGGCAGGTACAAGAGGTATAATATGCGTACGCACCTCCCCTCCCCACACCACACATACCCCCTCACTCGCACCACCCCAATCGGAAATGTTAAGAATGTACACTGTATCAACTATATTCCTAGGTGGTAGTTATATCATGGATTACTAGGCTAAAACTGATTAAGGCTTCGGACCCCTCAATACCTAAGTTGTGTTCCAACAGGCTCAGCCTTTGACCCCGCAGGTAATTCTGGGCGGCCGACATGAATTTGTCCATTTCACACACCCCGATACGGCCATAATGGGTGTAGTTTTACTCCTTCGTCATCATCATTATTTCAGTTGATTAATTAAGATACTCAAGAATAATTATGATTCTAAGAGTGGCAAATATTTATTAACTTTATGATAACCTACATTTAAGATAATTTCCACTACTTGGTGAATAAAAATAACAATACCATCGTAAAATCACACCGTACAGACATATACGTAGCAGTAGCCAGGTTTGCCATTGGGGTGGGGCGTAGGTGTGACAACATGGACCAACTGGTGTCATGTAGAAGAGGCGTGTGGATCGCAGCTTTTTTATTGTAGGATTTTTGGTAGAGAACTGGTCAAAATGATTGCCTTTTAAGCTTTCCTGTAATTTTTTTTATTACAGAAAATATCAAATTGTATATTCAGTACATTTTCAACTGTCCTAAAAATGCTTGATACATCGCACACAAGGTAAGTCAGCTTACATACCATCCTCGCGTCTTCATATGATGATAAATTTCTTACATTTTTCTAGTTTATTTTACAAATTTTACCAAAGTGTGACAGTTTACCTCAATGAAAATCATAATCCAGCTTATGCAATGGTTTTAACTTGGTAGGTATAAGAACACTCAATCTGACAAACATCACAAACGCAGACGAGCATCGTAACAAGTCATCTCTTCGCTTCGCTTAACGATAGCTATGGGGAAATAACATTACTTTAATGAAGAAGAGATAAATACGAGTGACTACATATTATCACAATTAACTATCTATCTTGATTTACAGCGCCTATGCCCATAGGAAACCCATGAATCTGCATTTAGACTTTACACATAAATCACAAATAATTGTAAAATTCTCTGGCAATACCGCCGGGTATTACATCAAGCATTATGGAAGCGAAACTGATCGATATGTAGCAATCCAATGGACCACGACGTTTCTAATATTCATATCACTTCTTATATATAATTTAGATATAAATATAAATACATAAGAAATTCTAAATATAGAAATTTACATAGAGCTTTTGCCAATGCATACAAAGCGCTTGGATATGTGGACTAGGAACTCGATCAATGACTCCC